CCCCCCCCCCCGGCTTCTTTTTACCGCGACCCAAAGGCTCCTCGTTAAATTATCTCGCGAAATTTATCAATTAAATGGGCATTTAATGTTTCGCGTTCCTTCAGATAATTTTCCAATTCAAAGAATCGTGGGTACCCGGTGAGAGAGTAAGCTTGTAGCTGTAATTAAAACGGTTGGCATGAAATAAGACATAGTAGTAATCAGTGGTGATGAGGCGTGAATGATCGATTATCGATTTTTCCCCATTTGAAGCTATACGGTAGAGAATCGATTATTAAGGTGTTGGTTGTGAACACCCTGTTTATCGAGTCTTTCCCCTAGGTTTAAATGGCGGATCAGTCGATATAAATCGAAAAGCATGCCACGCCACAGGTAGTGCTCAGCATAAACCTGAAAATTCTGAATGGCTTGGATACAAACATTTAAAAGAAGCGACGTGGACCAAATTTTTCATTAATATAAATCCGATTCGAAATGTAAAGTTAAAGCTCGCGCAGAAAATAACCCTAATTAAATTACGCTTAAAAATAAAACGTAATATGAATTGTTTTTTTCTTTTTGTTTCTCTTTTGCGAAAACAAAAATCCTCGTATTCGCTTTATTCTATGGATGGCACGCGCGCTTTTCTGAGAGGGTCCATTTAGTATCTATTCAAGTTGAATAGGTGTAGCGTGATAATGATGCATTAAATCGATGAGAGGTCACGCAATAACACTCAAATGAACTCCTTGCTTCCAATCTCTGAATTGTTTATTCTTGCAAAAATTAATTTTCTACGCTATCACTCTCTTAAAATCAGGTGTGTATAAGCGTTAATAAACTAATTTCTTTGTTTCAGTCATTCAAGCAAGTTGGGAAGAATGGTGGACTTACGATGGAATTTCAGGTAAGCGGTTCATGAAATTCAGTTTTTCTTTTGTTTTGTTTATTTCCCACCAAAAGGTTTATAGAAGAGATAAAATTACATCACATCGAAAGAGAGAGAACAAAAAAAATAGTGTAAATAAAAAGAGTAAAGTTATACACTGAATAGCCATAAACTAAATATACACTTTGGGTGCCGGTAACCGCCGTTAGGCGCTTCAATCAGCAGCATGAAATTTAGTGTGTTAAATTTCAAAACCTAAAATTCAAAAACCTTTAATGAAGTTGTACATGCACTATCATTTCAGAGACGGACACCAGCTCTAGAATAAAATAATTCACAGCGTTTTTAAGGCTAAAGTTGTAAAATGGTTATCCCCGTTGCAACTTTGAAGAACCTCCGATTATATTTTATTTTTGAAAAGAAAACGAATAAAATACCGCCGTGAAATTGTCTTTGAATATTTTCGAGTTGATACATTACAGATTAGAACACGTCGAACAGTTTGGCCAGTTTTGATTTAAAAATAAATAAATCTTTGTCCATGAAATAAAATCATAAGGGTAAAGCATAACACTTAACGCCTGAGGCGCGAGGTGCTAAAGTGGTTGGACCGCGAAGCGATCAGGAGCACTGCTGTGGTAAGGAAGAACGCCGCATGAACCTCTGGGCGTTACCAAAATGCTTTCCATTTAACACGAATTTACGGGGAAAATCGTGAATTTATTTTTTTCGAATTTTTCACACTATTTCGTCTCAATTTGATCGCAAATAAGTGAGAATTTCAAAGAGAAATCCATAATTTTCCTCAAAAATACAAGTTTTATCCAAGGAACTTCGGTAACTCTTGAATGTTCATACGGCGTTCTTCCTTAGCACGGCAGAGCAGGCCTCCTATCAAATAAATAAAATATGAGCGGAGACTTGTAACGTCGCCAACGGAGATTTTAAGAATTTAGCCAAGCAAGAAATTCCCTTGAGTGTTTTCTTGTAACCGTTAGTTTTTACATGTATCTGTCATTTCATAGGCCCTTTTCCACGCATTTTTGTCCTTTAAAAAAGGGGAGGTTCGTGCGTCCATCGAGAGTGGAAAGCAGTGTCTAGCGCGCCGTAAGAATCCATGACGTAATCCATCAATTAATATGGGTTACGAGTAAGCTCAAAGTTTCAGAATGTACTCCTCAAGGGATAGTCTGATCGATCATTTATCACTTCACTGCTGACTTACCTCTCACTAATCAAAGCTGCCACTAGGTTCATACATATTCATTATCTGGTACCTGACTCCCGTGAATAGGAGCTCAATGAAAGATACTTCAAAGTTTCCATATTCTTTTTCAGTACATTGACGTCTAGTTTGAAATGTCAGAAGAAATGAGACTCAGCCTTGGTTGTCAAGATGAATACGAAAATTCAAATCGACACGCATGAAAGTAATCGAATTTATCAAAACGAAAGTTGGCAAGGCAAACAATTTTGATAAAACGATTGTAATAGGTAATGCTGAAAGGAAGTTTTATGTCAAGATTGAAGAGACGCATTTACATTTAGAAAATCATTAAGATATGTTCTGTTGGGAGTGATACCACTATTCGACCTACTGAGTCAGGTGTGCCTATTCAATTTATATGGGAGACGTTTTTATTTTCCATCGCTTTACGTTAAAGTTTATCAACTATCGTGGTAACGATCATTCTCATTTGAAACTGTTTCCTCTTCATTGACCTTTTCGGATAAGATGTCTAATGCGATGCCTTTTCTGTCTGCGCAGAACTACATCGATAAGTTGCTCAATTTTCTTGAAGAAATAACGCATTCCGCGTGAACAACTGTTGTTGTTTTTTTTTTTGTAAACTTTACGGAAAATCAATTTTATTTATGATTAGAGCTAGGTACCTTAAAGAGAGGGATTAAATTAGACCATCAAAGTTAATCAATGTTATTGCTGCCAAAAAAAAGGGCCGTATAAAAAGAAAAAAAAGGAAAAAAAAAAAAAAACAAATCATCCAAACTGCCGTGCTAAGGGAAAATGCCGTATGAATATTTAAAAGTTGCGAAATTTCTTTGGATGAAATAGATATGCATCGTATGAGGAAAGTTTTGCGCATTTCTCCTTGGACTTTACAGATATTTTAGATTAAATTGCGAACAAAATTGTCAGAAAAGTTTGAGGGAGAGTTGAAGATGTCCGACGGCTCATAAGGCGTTTTTAATTAGCACGGTAGCAAATGATTCTAATACAAAATCTCAAGATATCTGCTGCAGGGCGTGATACCACTATTCGACCTCCTGGGAGCTCGGTGTGCCTATTCAATTAATTGAAGGCGTTTTTATTTGTCGTCGCCGTGCCGCGCCGCGCCGTCGCTTCGCGCTAACTTCCTATGAACTGTCGGGGTAACAAGCAGATTCTCATTCGAATCTGATTCTTCTTCGATGACCTCCTCGGATAAGATGTCTAATGTGATGCCATTCTCCGTGCGTTGAACTAAATCCATACGTTGGCAGATTTTCTGGGGAAAATAACGCATTTTGTAAACAACTATCGTTTTTTTTTGTAAACTTTACGGAAAACTTTAATCGATCGTGATTCGATCTGGAAGTTAATTGATTATTTAACCGTAAAAAAAATCACACGCGAATCCACAAGGTTTATAATTTTCAAAAACTTTTAACAGTTTTAGAGAGCAAATTGAGCAAATTGAGCAATTTCAGTGCTGATAAACTTTTTTTAAGTGTTACTTTTTATATCTGGTTTTAAAAGTAAAAAAAAAAAAATATATTTAAAAAATGTATAAGAAAAACCCATTTTCAAAAACACCTCCAATGTGTTGAAAAAATTTTTAATAATTATTTTTTCATACATTACAAAACTATATTCATACAAATTTTTCATTTTTTAAATGATTTGAAAAACCTTTGGAGACCTTCGAACATTTTAAAAATGTTCTTAACATGATAAAAAAAAAGTATTTTAAAGCATATCAGAATACGCATATATATCGCCATATTTTCTTTTCTGAAACTTGTGAAAGTTGCTCATGGAATTGTTTAGCTATCCTCTTATTAAGGCACACCTGTAAACCATTTTACTGTTGTTTGAGATATTTTGCAAACATATTTTAAGCGCAATTGCTCTAATAGGGTGAGAGTACAAAAAGGAACCTAAAACATGTGGCCCAAACTGTGTGTAACAAGGTGGTAAGATAGTGCTCCCCCTCCCCCAGTAATGTTCTAATACTTATTAGAGCTCCAAAGTTGCGGCTCTGGTTGAAAGTTTCGAAACGTTTGGCCTTGCCCTGCTTCGTACAAAACAGTGTGAATGTAGCACTATTTTACCACCTTAGTAAAAGTAAGGTGAATAATTATTTGTAGTTCATTTGATAATTGTCAAGAGTTTCCCGTGTGGAATGAGCCTGGTTTTTCCGCGAGTGAAAATCCCTCATGTTTTGATTGGGAAAGGCGCTGCTGAGCGTGGCGAGGGATTCGTGGTTGCGGCGGGCGCGCGGTGCGGTCAAAGCCGAGCGGCCACAGACTAGGGGCACCGATTCATTCGGAAATTCAGTCGTCCTAGCATCGCTTTTAATTCCCTCATTCACAATGAACCCCGCTTATTGACAGCTTTATGTGGACGCTTTACAATCCGATGCAGGGACGAATGCATGAGGGTGAAAAATTCACTCGGCCCTCTGTCCAATAAATTAAAAGGTGCTCGTCCGATCCGGGGCAGATGTCGCCGTAAGACGGATTCACATCGCTTGAATTTCATTTTTGAAAATTGCTCGCTTCCAAATCCATTTGATGGCTATTGATTTGAATAGCTGTACGAGGTATTTAAATTGGCTGGAAATAAAAATTGCCACCACCTGATTCCCATATGGACGCATTTCTGTCAAACTGAACTATGTGCATTATGACGTGAGCCCTGTTATGCATGTATTATTATGCGTCTCAGGGCTCTTGTCTTATTGCACATAGGTCCCTTTACTAGAAATACGTCCATATATCTGCCTTCGCACTCGTCATCATGTGTCACTCTTAGAGGTGTCGTTAGCTGGTTGTAAGTTGACGGTTGTTTACTTTCGGTTTGCAAGCATCAACGACGAATTAGGGCCTCTGCACAAAGCGGCGTTCGCTCACAACACACACAAACACACCCTCCCTACCTTGAAAACATCCGTCTCATGGTCGTATCAAAAAAATTCCATGTATCAGTTATGATTCGCGACTTTTATGGGGTTGTGATTTCTGTGTGGCTAAAAATTAAAGTGTTACAAGGTTTGAAAGTATTAAACAACTTATCCAAGCTTGTGTTCTTGCTTCTGCGAGAGTCTGATGTTTTCATATGGACAGTTGTGACGCGAAAACGCTAATTGCAAACCGAAAGTACACAACCGTCAACACTTAGCTGACGATACCTCTATGTCTCTCTTTCTCTCTTTCCCTCTCTTTCCGACTTTGAAAACAAATTGAGAGTAAGTCATTTTTCTACAAAATACAAATTGAAAAATCAGACGATTATCGAGAAATTTGGGTATTTAGTAATTAAATCATAAGCCGAGTCAAAATCAAACGAGTATGAAAGTGTCATGACTTTTGGCTACAGATTCGTATTGTTCTGATATTATATGCATTTTGACGGCTCAGTGAAAAAGGAAATAGATCGCAAAATAGTACTTACTGGTTCCCTTATTTTGTTTGCGTATTTATAACTTGACCTCTTTCATAAAGTTAAAAATCATTCCTTTAAGACGCGGGGAGGATATTTTCCATCGAAATTCTCAAAAGCCAATTCTTCAACTTTAGTTGAAGGAAATCGCTCTATTTGAAATGTTGTCAACGTGGGCTGAGGTTCTTCTTTTCCATATAAACAGACCCAAATCACACAGTTAAGTGAAAGTGTGATTGAAAAATGTGTGTGAAGTGATTTCAGTTGAAAATTACCCATTATTTTTTACTGAGCATTTCAAGGATTTATCCTCTGAGTGCACTTGAAAATCAGCACAATTTTGGACGAAAATGTC